ACTCACAGGGAGGGCTTGCTTCTTAGTAACTTCTTGTTCTCGCCTCAAGATTAAATCTTAGGTAAAATTATTGTAACAAAAAAGAATTATTTTGTTTAAGACAAGTTTTTACTGTGCAGTTTAGGCTGGCCATTAACCTACAAACCAAATAATTGTTTTAAAATGTAGGAAAAAAACTTTTAACTTAACTGTGATGACTAATATGTGAACATTTGCACTTGATAAAAAAATATATATATGACACAAACAACTACAAGGAAAACTGAGCAACCAGGAATAAAACCAATGGATTTGTGTCAGTGCCAGTATTGGCATATTATACAATTGTCTGCAAAATGGTACTACTGGGGGCAATGGCATAAAAAGAACAACTGAGACTACCCTATTTGTTACAACTGCATGCAAAGTTACAATGATCTCCATATAAATACTTTAATTTGGAACTCATTAAAAAGGTTTTCATGATAACAAATACTGAACATGTGCTACAAACAGAAACTTCTTAGAACAAAAGCTTTCTAGTGAACAAGTACATACAGCTAGACTTCCTAAAAATCTACCTGACATAGCCCTCACGACCTGCTATTCTACCCTGTCAGTCTATGGGTACAATAACAGGATAACAATTCAAAGTTACTTATTAACTTAGCCCTCTCTTATTAAAACTATGATTTGTTTTAGTAAAATCATTGCCTAGGTTTTCAAAATGCTTTAACATAAACAAGGCAATGCTTGGTTCCGGAGACTGATAAACTGCTAATGATGAGTAAGATTGACCATAGTAGTGATTGCTGATGATGCTGATGACAATAACTGAAGTAGTTACAAAAAGGACAGTGATGATGGTAACAAGAAGGATGGTGATGATGACAGTAATGATGATGATGGGGCTGTTGGTGCTAAAATATTCCAATGTTTGAATTGGATTTGAAATTTCCATAGCTGCAAGATGACTCTACACGTATAAAGAAAAACTATTCACAGAACAAGTATAAGGCAAGACTTTAATTGTCCCTTAGTGAAGACTACAGTCTCCAGAGTAACTGCATCCCAGGAGATGTTCTTCCCTTACATTTGAAAACCGTATTCCCTGTCCACAAATCTCGGTGACCTTTTCCATAACAGTACTAGACTTATGAGCACATTTAGCACTAGAAATACATCTATATATTTTTTCAACACTTGCTGATCAGTGAAGCCATTGGCATCCACCTAAATTTCCAGGAGATGGTGTATCAATTTTCTATGTATGTATATATCTAATACATACTGAAGAAAATTATATAAGAAAATCTTTCTCCTCTGAGCTCTTATTGTTAATGCAAAGTATTAGAAATCATCTGTTTTACATCATTGCTAGGTACATTTTTCTTTTATGCTATGTTCTCTTTAGCAGCAATCTTGAGCTTCTGATGACTTGGTAAGATTAAGGTAATACTTTTTAGTAATTCATAGGTGATGTAATTTATAGTAGACTACTTTATATTATTGGAAGATTGTGGGTATAAAAAATAAAATCTTTGATGCTGAGATTCAACTATACAATGGAGTTATCTTCTGTTATTGAGATCAAATGAAATTTATTTTTAAATCATTTGTGAAAATTCAAGGTAAAAATATTAATATATGTAAATGTATATACATACTTAGAGATGTTAGCTGCCTGTGTTAGGCTCCAAGTAGTTAAAAAATGTGAGGCTTTTATTCTTTGCTTAATAATTGCAATGATAAAAATGCACATAAATTACAAATAATATCACTTCTACCTTGAAAATTATAATAAATACTTTTACTACTAGTAATCATTATGCACTGCTTTGTATCATATGTAGAGCAGATATTGGGAACAAGGGAATATGTAATATTTTAAATCTCTTATTAGCTTGAAAAATTATTTTGTAATAAGTGAAAATGTATTTTTAATAGTTTATTGGTACAATTTATATACACATAATTATCCCATTTGTCATAAGGAACTTGTGCTTGTATATGATTATTTTTTGACACAAGATCTTGTGATGTAGCGCAGGCTGATCCTAAACTCACTCTGTAGTACAGGCTGGACTCAAACTCCTGCTAACCCTCCTATCTCAGCATCCCAGGTGCTGGGATTACAGGGGTGCACTACCATGCCAAGCCTACATAATCTTGATTCCTCTTTTTTCCCATTCCTCTCCCTCTCCTCTCAATCCCTCTTCCCCTCATTTACAAAACCTTCTCTACCATTTTATCCTTCTTGTCTCATTTTTTCTTTTGCATTCTTTTTATTCCTCCTCCCCCTCCCTAGTTCTCCTTCCCATTTGAACAATTTTTTGCTACTTCACAATATCGATTACACATTTTCATTCTTATTTACTCTTTCAATAGAATTCACAATGTAATGCAGACTTTCTTGTCCTCACATTACATTTTAAGCGTTTTAAAGACTAGTTCTTGCTCTAAGAGAAAATATAAACAATGCCAGTTATTACTGTTATTGAGATAAAATGAAATTTACTTTCAAATCATGTGAAAATTCAAGTTAAAAATTTAATGCATGTAAATGTATTTACATGCATACAGATGTTAGCTGCCTGTGTTAGGTTCCAAATAATTAGAAAATGTGGGACTTTTATTCTTTGCTTATTATTTACAATGATAAAAATGCACATAAATTACAAATAATATAACTTCTACCTTGAAAATTATCATACATATTTTACTACTAATGATATAGAGATACATGAAGTATCTACAACAAAAAAGTCAGGCCAGGGATATAGTTCAGCAGCATAGTGCTGCCTGACAAGAACAAGGTCCTGAGTTCAATTCCCAGGACCATAAATTTAAAATTTAAATGCCTGCAATAAAAAAAAGTGTAATTTAATGAAGACAAAACAAACAGATAGTCAGGAGTCTTGAGTTTCAGAATCAGTCTGCCTCCTACCAGCAAGGGCATTTTCTACAAAGTACTGAACTTGTAGAGCTTTGTTTTGCTGCACAACGAAAGCAAACAAACATCCCTTTTATTGTGTTTACAAGGCAAACACTAAGCTAAGTGTGCTGTAATCACACCGTTTCTTGGTGTGCTAACATGCAGATTTATAAGGCTACTTGTAGAGAGCAAAGGAGGAAGTTCAGGGTCAGAGAGGATGAGAGGTAAATTTCATCCTAACTTACCAATAATTTGTATATTGGGGCAAGTCACTAGCATCTGGCATATCATCTTTCTCCCTATGAAACAGGAACATAAGTTTTGCTCTAAAAATATATTGCCCTATTTTGATAATTACATCCAGAAACAGTTAACATAGTGAGATGGTTTATGAACATAAGAAATACATCTGACAAAAATATGTCTACTCTAAGGTCACCTCCAGCAATGATTGTTGATGCTTCCTAGAGACATGACTGTAATTTGAACACTTTGATATTAGGAGTGTACAGTGCCATGCTTTGATATTATAATCTGCCAACTGTCATACCTATAACTAACTATCAGTCCCCAAGATTAAACCAAGGATCATTAAATGAATTCTTCTGTGAGTAGAATTCAGACAGCAATACTTTCTAAATGTTTCTAGTTATTATAATATACAGGAAATATTGAGAACCACTGCCTTATATCACACCCTTATGCTTAATAACAACTCACATTTTAATAGAAATCATATGAAAGAAGATTTGTATGATGGTTTATCTTGTTTGTGCTTAAAATTATGTTTATAGCTAACATTTGAAAAGTCCACATTCTTTGTCTTAGAGAAGCCCTTTAAAGATTAAAAAAAAGTGGTAAGGACACAGAGATAGACTAGACATAGAGATAGAGGAGACAGAGACAGAGATAGACAAGATGGTAGATCTAGACTCATTAGGAGGAAGTTTTATATCAAAATGTTTTGTTGCTGTCTTGTTATGCCACACTAGAAACATAGCTGGATGTCATTAACCAGAGTTCTTTTGTTTAGTGGTTAAATTTAAATGGCAATTTCATTGTCTTGAAAGAGAGGATATTAGTAAATCACACTTTGGGTTTCTGGATAGGGCATGAGGATGTGACCTGGGGATGATATCTGGCCCCAGGCCTTCCGTTTTACTTCTTCACTTAAACTCTGCTTTTCAGGGGTTAGGAGTTCAGCAGCTTTCCTCGGTCACTTTTTCTACCACAAAGTTTATGCCTGGGAGCCAGGCGACCTTGAACTAAAACCTCTGATACTTGAGCCAAAACAATTTCCCCTCCTTTAATTTTGATGTGTTAGATATTTGATCTCAGAAACAGGAAGGTGAAATGTAACTCTGAAAATTATATTAATATTTTCTTCATGTTTCGACATAGAAATTGACTAGTTTCTCCGTGGCACAGCGTGTGATTAACCATAATAAGTAGAAACTCCATCAATTTCAGATAGATATTCATGCCTTCATGTACACAAAACATGCAGAAATAGCTTAGTTTTAATCTATTTCTGTACTGTTAACTAGGAAAAAACCTTCTTTTGTAAAATATTTTGTACTAGTAAAAAAGTTGTATTGCTGAAGTAAATTGCCTCTCACAACACAAACTATAAAATGAATTCACTACTGATGAGTGACACAGTAAAAGATCTCCAACGTTAGTGTTTATTAGTATCCATGGAAGAATTGCTTATCCAAAAACTGTTCAACTGCTTCCCAGAGGTCCTGATTCAGTACTGGGAGGTGAGGCCTGAGAATCTGCATCCAGGTCAAAGTAGAGCAAATGGTGCTGGTTTATGGCAATATGGTAAGAAACATAAAAATAAGATACTGGAGAAGCAGGAGAGTAGTAAGAGATCCAGATCTGAACACCATTCTGCAAGACTTTTGAAATATTCACAAGCTGGACAATACTTCATTGCAAAGTCTAGGTTTGGGGAGGACGCATCAGTCATGACAGGCAATGCCTCAGCAGCCACAAATATGGAAAAATAGCTGTTTAATCAGCTCAAGGTGTCATCTCACAAGGTTTTCTCCTATTCCCATAGGACTCCTACTCAGGCAGAATGGCTGCAGAAAATCACTCTATAGTGACAGAGTTCATCCTTGGAGGATTAACTAACAGGCCAGAGTTCCAGATGCCCCTCTTCCTCCTCTTCCTGGGGATCTACATGGTCACCATGGTGGGGAACCTGGGCATGATCACCCTGATATGTCTCAACAAGCAGCTTCACACACCCATGTATTATTTCCTCAGCAACTTGTCACTTGTGGACTTCTGTTACTCTTCTGTCATCACACCGAATATGCTGGTCAGCTTCGTATCCCAGAAGAATGTCATCTCCTATGTGGGGTGCATGTGTCAGCTCTACTTCTTCCTTATTTTTGTCATTGCTGAGTGTTACATGCTCACAGTGATGGCCTATGACAGATATGTGGCCATCTGCCACCCTTTACTTTATCATAGTATCATGTCTCATGCTCTCTGCTCCCTTCTGGTGACTCTGGTCTATGTCATAGGATTCATTGGCTCTGCAATAGAGACGGGTGTCATGTTATCATTGAGCTATTGCAAGCACCTCATCAGTCACTACTTCTGTGACATTGTCCCTCTCATGAAACTCTCCTGTTTCAGCACATATGATGCAGAGATGGCAATCTTCTTCTTTGCTGGATTTGACATTGTACTCACCAGTTTAATTGTCCTTGTTTCCTATGCCTTCATCCTGTCCAGTACTCTTCGCATCAGATCTACCGAGGGCAGGTCCAAAGCCTTCAGCACCTGCAGCTCCCATCTTGTAGCTGTGGGATTGTTCTATGGATCCTCTACATTTGTGTACTTAAAACCCTCCACGGCCAGTTCCCTGGCCCAGGAGAATGTGGCTTCTGTGTTCTACACCACAGTGATCCCCATGCTCAACCCCTTGATCTACAGCCTGAGGAACAAAGAAGTAAAGGTGGCCCTGCAGAGAACACTGAGAAGAAAACTCCTTTGATGTGAGTGTTATTGTCCTCTTTGTGAATAAAAGTAGGTTCTTAGAAATTCCAAATGTGTGCTCTCTGCATGGTTGCCCAGCTGTGGATTGGAAATTGTATCTTCTGTATGTACTGGGGTCCATCATTTCTCTACTTTTTTGTTCTCCCTCTTTTCTGTCATTTTGTTTGCAGCTATCTATTTCAAGTTGATTTTTCTCTCAGAATGTATTTTATCTACTTTCAATCATAATTATAAATTAACATAAATTTTCACATTGTGTTTGGAAGTCATTTATGGTACTACCTTCAGTACAGAAAATCTTACACATTCCATTTCTTACATTTGGCTACTGGCAATACCTAAGACAAAGAAATGTGAATTCAAAAGTCATGAAGAAATTATACTTTGTACCAATGTCATTCAGATTCCTTTTCCACATTCTTCCATTTCATCTGATATATTTCCTCTCTAATATTCCTGGCCCAAATTTCCTTCTGATCCCTTCATGCAATTTTCATGATAAAATAATAATAATAATAATAATAACAATAATAATAATAATAATTTCTTACGTGTCTCTCATGCTTTTTCAGAGCCATATATCTCTACTAAGCATATACTATTTTATTTCCTTTACACCTAACCACAGTTACAGTTGTGGCTCCACTGCACACAGATAGTAACTTCATCATAGCTAGGTCTTCCAGGTAGCAATAAATAGTTAGATCAAATCACCATCTCAATGACTGCAAACACACATTTTGGTCCCTCGCACATTGTCACCTTTGAGGAATGCCATCACAGTAGATATCCAATATTTTAAAAATTGATTTGGTTATGCTTTTCCAATTTCAAATGCTTCCTGATACCACTTTCTTAAATCTTCTCAATATTATCTGCATAAATGTATTTCTTCTTCTGTGCAACATATTCAAGATAAATCAGAAAAATTACACTGCGGTGGCTGACCAGGCCAGATTACCATGAATCTCTCCCATTCTTTGCACTGGGATCCACATCTTGAAAAAACCCTCTCACCAGGTAAACTAGAATTACTGATCAGCCTCCATTATAAATTATGACAAAATCACTTAGTGAATCCAATTGCAGGGGGACAAAGTTTCTCCTCACACTTATTTATAATACTATCAAGGATTTGTGGTTTAGACTAGGCAGCTTGATGTGGTCTGAAGAGTTTACGGACATTTGCTTGTCATTTACAACAATCTGGGGTATACTAGAGTATCACTGAGTGGTTTGATTTGGGAAACATAAATAATTAGTTTCCTCAGACAGAAAAGGATGTAATGTAAAAAGTTATATGCATATAGTCTTGTATTACTACAAAAAGTTTAAGTGATCCTCCAATGTGACTCCACAATAGATAGGACCTACACATCAAGAAGGTCCAATACCATCATCACTATTACAACTATGAAAAATACTGAGAAATGAAGAAAACTGAAAGATGAATGACAGTCCTCAGGAGAGTATCACCTAGAAACTTATTAGAAACTCAGATTATTCAACTCAACTTTACTTCAGTTGCCATTATCCCAGAAATTTCAGTTGTATGGATTCCAATTTCTTCCATGTCCATGTCTCCTTTTCTTGCTGTGTGTGAGCTGGAGGCCAGAGATTTCCTTTGCATTGACATTTTCCTGGTTTCTACTGTGTGAGCTGGTTTGGAGTCCCAGGTGCTTTGTGCATTGGCTACCCAACTGTGCTGTAAGGCCATGAGCGAGGAAACTGGGCCTTTCCTAACCAGGTTCTTGAGAAAGCAGTAGGTCATGGGGCAGTCTTCTCTAGACACATTCAACTTCTCCAGACACATTCAACTTCTCCAATGTGCTGCTGGCTGGTTCTCACAGCCTACAATGGCTATAGGTCCCAAATGGTGTCTGTTGTGCTCATGAGGGTGGAGCTGGCTACTTCTCCCATTCCATGCTGGCTACCAAAGGAGGGTCCTGGTCATGGCCAGCGTGCATTTGGGGATGTGGCTAACTGCTTCTTCTCCTGGCCCATGCTGGCGCTAGTCTGCAGTCAACAGGTACACAGGGAAAGGATTGGCTGCATCTTCTCTAGGGCTTTGCTGCCTATGGGTGCTAAATGGCAGCCTGCATGCATGCAGGAGCAAGGTTGGCTGCTTCTTCTATTAGTCTACACTGGCTACAGTCACTAATCAGTTTCCGCAGTCCACCTGCTGATTCAAATCACTACTGTTGGTTTCAATTTTTCTGTACCACTAACCCTGCCTGTCCAATGTGTGCACTCTAGTCAGGGTTCTACTGTGTCTCCAGCTTTTCTGCTACTATCTGAGCCCTGAGTCCCATCAGTGGAGGTAGCAGATAGTAAAACCACTTGAAAAAAACTGAAGATAGACTCTCAGATATTGAAGATGGGATGGAAGCATATGATCATGAAAGAAAAGATCTCTTAAGATAACAAGGAACCAGGAAACAACAATTCAACAGCTGCCAGATGAACGGGAAACAATGTAAGACTGATAGATGTCAATGAAAAAGCAGGGGTCAACACAAATAATATAAGAAGACTATTTACCGAAACAATAGCAGAAAATTTTCCAAACATGGGAAAATAATCTGATATTCTGATAAGTGAGGCATATAGAATCCCAATTAACCATAATCAAAATAAATCTTCACCCAGACATATAATAATTAGGACATCAGAAATTCAGCACAAAACAGAATACTAAAATCTGTCAGAGAAAAGAAATAGATCATCTACAAAGGAAAGGCTCTCAGAATCATGGCAGACTTCTCAACACAAACCTTTAAGTCAGAAAGAGCTTAGAGTGAAGTATTTCAGGTCTTCAAAGAAAATAACTTTCAACACAGATTGATGTACCTTGAAAAACTGTCTTTCAAAGTTAATGGATAAACAAGATACTATCATGACTAAGAAATTAAGAAATTTATGACCACTAAACCAACTCTACAAAGAGTATAATGAAGAAATAAAGACACTTTCAAGACCAAGAAAAGCTGAAGAAATTTGTGACCACAAAGTCAATCCTACAAAAAGTACTGAAAGGCATTTTAAAGACATAAAAGACCACAGTTCAAAGAACAATAGAAGCAGCAAAGCTAGCAAGGTAAGCAATTACACAAAGGGAAAAATAGGAAACCAAACACATAAAAATAACATGACAAAGAAAACCAATACAAAGAAAAACAATACCCAGCAGTGTAAATGGCCTTAATTCACCAATCAAAAGAAAAAGACTGGCAGAATGCATTAAGAAATAAGATCCAATAATATGTTATATACAATAAACACACTTCACACAAAAAGAAATTCATAAATTAGAAGTCAAAGGGCAGAAAACAATACTTCATGCAACAGGAACCCAGCGGAAGTTAGTCTATTTGCAGATAATGTGAATTCAAACCAAGAATGATTAAAAGAGGTAAATAATAAAGTTACATATGTGTTAGTGTAAAAATTCAAGAGGAAGAGATAATAAAAATACATTATCAACTAACACAGAAGAACCCAAATATATATGACCGATATTAATGGACATCAAAAACCAAACAAACAAGCAATAACACAATTGAAGCAAGAAACATCAGTACTCCATTGTCACAAAGTGATAGATGAACCAGACAAAAAATCAGCAAAGAAATGACGGAACTGATTCAAACCTGTGAACAAACGGACCTAGTAAACATTCATGGAGTGTTCCATCCAACAATATCAAAGTAGATTTTTTTAGCTATACGTGAGATGTTCTTTAAACTAGACCATAGCCCATAAAAATGCTTCAGTAAATCCAAGAAATTGAAGTTGTCTCATTATCTGATTATCTGAAGTTGCATATTATCTGATCATAGTGCATTGAAATTGGAAATTAACAGTGAAATAAACAGCAAAAATTCCATAAATTCGAGGAAATTAAATAACACCCTTCTGAACAACGAATGGGCCACAGATGAAATTAAATAGTACATACAATTAAGTGAAAATGCAAATACAACTTCCTGGAACCTGTGAGATGCAATTAAAAGAGTCCTGAGAAGGAAATAATAGGGGTGAATTCTCACATCAGGGAAACACAATGAACACCAAAAAATAGCCAAAAGTTGCATCTCAAACTTGTTCATAATGATGATGATCATAAAACTCTGAAAACATGCAATGAACACCTGGAAGGAGAATTTTGTGATATTTCTACTAAGGTGGAAGATTTAAAATTCAGAGCAGTATTCAGATGAGTTCTCATCACCTACAGCATCTATTTGTAAAAAAAACTTTTCAATATGTTCCAGGTGGATATGTTAGTTCTTCAGCAATAGAGATAGATTTCTTCCCTTCTGATATATTTGTAGAGGTCCTGAACTACATGTGGAGGCAATGATTTCTGTGGAAAAGGAAGATGTATTAATGTCTTCAGATCAGATTCTTGATATTCAATCTTTTAAACTGTTCTCAGATGCAGGATGTATCTAATCCCAATAAAAATAAGAGTCAGTCCAAAAGTAAGAATTATCCCAAAATAAATCACCCCATCAGAAATTCCACAGATGCCAAGGATGATGATGTACAAGAAATCAGAGATCAGGATGACAGCCCTTCTGAACACAGTGCGGGGTACACCCCCACCTCTGTCACCTACAATCACACTCATGGTTTGGGAGACAATTTTGAAAGATCTGGGGAGCAAATAGCTTGCATAATTAAATTTCTACCATCAGGAAGTAGAGCCCTAGGACCCAGAGTTCCAGATTCCAAAGATCTGGGGTCCCAGGCCTCTCAAACTTACATAACGATGGCATTAAAGATGGACAGATCCCAGGCTGGATCACAGACAACAGTGCCATGGAGCTGGGGCACCCACTGTACAGTCATCCTCGGAGCTGATCACCTGCCTGTCCTGCAGAAGGACAATAGCAGGCCCATCTGAAGGAGTCCCTGGAAGTCCACTCAGGCTGCAAGGATCATTGTGGTGACTTGTTCTGCAGGCTACTCATCTGAGTCTGGGGCTTAAGGAAC